ATTTGAAGACAATGCTCTCTGTTATCCAACTGATGGCAAAACAGACAGACAATATAGGGTTCAGCTCCCATTCCCAAACATGAAGCAGGGTGGGGGTAGCTCTGGAAGGAAGGGTGAACACAGACCTTATCACTCTAGCCCTTAGGAAGAACAGCCTGATGGCCCATGCCAGGGTCTGTTGGGGCTTTACCAGGTGACAGAAATGCCTGGAAGGGACCTCAGCAGAATCTCCCATAAGGCTAGTGGGGTTTGGGGAGCTTATAAAGGGAGCTGGCCCTGGACAGGGAGCCAGAGTGCTTCTCAGAATCTCACTGGTTCTCAGGCCCAGTGGCCCTGTCTTCAAGGGGTGAAGGGAAGGGAAGGGGAGAAGAGATGGGTATGAACTTTCCATACTGGCAGAGTAGACTAGCTTGGGTGACAGCAGCAGCAGCAGCAGCAGCATACCACTGAGAAGTCCGCACCTACACACGCTCATCTAGCTTCAGTCAGGCTTGCGTCTGGGTGAGTAGTTGCAGCACTGGAGGCACTGGTGCACTGCACAGGACAAGCAAAGGTCACCTGTCTACTGCCTGACTTTGATGAATGGGAAGTAATGACAAAGCCTGGCCATGGCTTAGATTCACCTCCTGACTATCAGTTCCAGGGTCTGAGGTCTGAAAGTCAATGCTGCTTGCATTTCATTCGGGGGAAGTGCTAGGGTTCAAACCCAGGGACAAGCACTCTACTGAGGGCATATACTTTGTATTAATCAGAGACAGTCACTTATGATGCAGCCTGGGAACCTTGACTTTTGCTCCTGTCCCTCCACGGTATCTAAGACAGTGCCCACATTCAATTCCCCATGCCCCTACCAACCTCAACTTTCCACTGACAACAGCTAAAGAGCTGTTCTATTTCTTCCACTGACACGTTAATGATTTTCAGAACTTCAGTCACTTGGGCCAGCCCCTGAAGCAACACTGGACTTAGGAACTGGTGACGCACTTGTGGGTTCCAGCTTTTTCCCTGGTCAAGATCTCTCTAGGTTAATAGCTCTGCTCAAGAGGCTCCAGGCAGACTGGGTAAGAGGTCACTAGGGCAATGTCGACCTTTTCCTAGACCCCCATGATGATTAACTTTGATTGCCAACTTGATGGGATTTAGAATCACCATGGAAACAAACCTCTGGGTATGTCTGTGAGGGGTTTTCTTTTCTATTCTTTTAATTTACTAATAAAAGCAAGAAAAATTATGCAGTCAAGTTTCCTGTGTTTGGGGGAAAATCAGAAACCAGGGCATCCAGAGAACAAAGAGGCAATCTCGCCTGGGAAAACCATCTTCTTGGTCATGGTCTCTCCCATTCCAGGTAAGTGTGTAAGGAGCTTTCCAGATTAGCTCACTGAGGTGGGAATACCCACCCTAAAGTTTCATGGACTAGGGTTTTGCCCTGAGTAAAAAAGAGATGGTGAGGTGAGCACTTGCATTCATCTGTCCCTGCTTCCTGACTGTGGATGCAATGTGACAGCTGCCTCACTCCTGCCGCCATGCCTTCCCTGCCATGATGGTCTACACACTCAAGACTGTGTAAGGAAAAAAAAAAAAAAACCTTCATAGGTTTAAAGAGAAATCTGGCACTAGGGAAATGTCCAAAGATCTACAAGGTTGACCCCAACTAACAATCTAAGCAATAGTCGAGAGGCTACCTTAAAAGCCCTTCTCTGATAATGAGATTGATGACTACCTTATATGCCATCCTAGAGCCTTTATCCAGTAGCTGATGGAAGCAGAAGCAGACACCCACAGCTCAACACTGAGCTGATCTCTGGAACCCAGTTGCAGAGAGGGAAGAGTGATGAGCAAAGGTGTCAAGACCAGTCTAGAGAAACCCACAGAAACAGCTGACCTGAACAAGGGATTGCTCATGGACCCCATACTGATAGCTGGGAAACCAGCATAGGACTGTTCCAGAACCCCTAAATGAGGATATCAGTTTGGAGATCTGGTTAATCTATGGGGCCTCTGGTATTTATCCCTAGTACATGAATGGACTTTGGGAGCCCATTCCACATAGAGGGATACTCTCTCAGCCTAGACACATGGCCCTGCTCCAAATGATATGAAAGACTTTGAAGATTCCCCATGGAAGGCCTCACCCTCCCTAGGGATCAGAAAGGGGATGGGCTAAGGGGTTGGTGGGGGGCAAGGGAGGAGGAGAGGGTGAGGGAACGGAGATTGACATTTAAAATAAGCTTGTTTTTAATTTAAATAGAAAAGTGGGGGGGGGGAAACCCTTCCTCTTTTTGTGTTTTTTTTGTTGTTGTTGTTTTTGGTTTTTTTTTGGTTTGGTTGGTTTTTTTGTTTTGCTTTTTTGTTTGTTTTTTGTTTTGCCTTTTTTTTTTTTTTTTGGTCATTTTGTCACAATAATGAGAAAAATAACTAAGACTTGGAACTTCTCATGCCATCTGCCCTTTCTACAGCATGTCATCTTTTACTCTCTATTTAGAACCATTTTGGAACTGAGAAAGTTATCAACACCCCCATTTCATAAGAGTTAAATTTTAGTCTCTCTTCACATGACCAATGTAGAGCTATCACCTGAGTACAGTGGCTACAGATAATCTCGAGGGGCTAAAAGTCAGAGGCCCAAAATCTAGCACTGTTTCTTCTAGTATCTGCCCCTGAGCAAATTATTCCAAGTGACCCAGTTGCCTCTCAATCCAAACATGGAAATAATGGAAATGATTGGGTGTGACCTTCTTCTAGAACTAGGGAGTAGCAGGTCATGTACCAGGAAAGACGGCAGAACAGAGGAGTGTCACGCAGTCCTGCTGACTGGAAGACAGAGATGACAGGGGCAGAGTAGGGAGGTGACTGTAAGAGCAGTAGACCCAAATGCAGACTGAGAAGGGGGAAGGAACAAGGTGGCTACACTATCCCAGAGAGATCCAGGAATCAGAAGCCTCCAGCAAAAATGACTAGCAATGGGAAGGACTACGCCATTCAGTAATTAGGGGGTAAAAAAAAAGCAGATACTCACATGCAAAAGGATGGAACTGGACCCCCTGCTACATGCCATACATGTAAAACCAACTTAAACTGAAGCAGAGACCACTGTAACAATTAAAACTTCAAACTTCAAACTTCAAAAATTCTTTTGAGAATATAGGAAACGGGGGGGGGGGGGGGGGGGGGAGAGAAAGAAGGGGGGACTGGTGGGGGGGAGGGGGGTGGAGG